TGACGCAACAATATGTAGTAGTAACTTTCAACTTACCCACTCAAGTGTGTGCACTATTACCATAGCAAACTACGCGTCTATAGTTACGACTTGATAATGTACAATTACTTGAATGGTGAAACTCAACAGTGTTTTACTAGCCTCGCGAAATAAATAATTTCTTCCAGAATTTAGCTGATCAATTTCAAAATTAATATTGGGCCCGTCACTACCCTGTACCCCAACCACCTGCAAATAAACTTTGGTCATTTACTGGAGAACATCAAATTAACTGGTGTTGCAAAAAAGTAAACACATGTTTGCTATTGCAGAAAAATAAATATGCTAGGCATTATAGTAATGTAAACATGTAACCTCAATGAAATAAAACCTACTCCACTGAAATCCACAATTTGCCAGTACACATTATGTGCCTGTAGAGAACATAACTCCCACACTGCACATAGGGAGTCATACACAGTTAAGCGTAAGTGTAAAACATTCTCTCGAGCACCCCTCGATCTATTTGGGAAAACTTCTACTAGATCATGGGTGAGAAATTTCACAAAGCTTTGGACTAACATTTTGTAATAGAAAGTAATTATATTTCTCGGCAAGCAATGGTTGCACAGCTCTTTTAATCGTCGGTTTCTTGAGCAAACGATGGTCCTAGCTTAGGGTGATTGAGTGGTTGTCAAAAACTGCCATCCACACATTTGTTGGAGTAAACTACTTGCTAGCTCAGAGATGAAAGGTCGTAACATCCTTTTAGTCCTTGCATTTTCAACTAAACAACTGTCCTAGCTTTAATTATCGAGTGTAAAATCACAAAATGTAGTGCATACATTGCATCATTAAATACCACCCTATAGCTCAGAAAGCAAGAAACGCCACTTCCTTTCAGTCACTGATTATTCAACCAAATGATCATACTGAGTACTATAATCGAGTGGTAGTCGCAAAATGTAGTCCATGGATTCTGCCAGACAACAACAGCCAGCAGCTTGGAAAACAATTTCGCAAAAACTTTTCAGCCATTGGTTTCTCGACCAAACAACTGAGCTAATCAAGTGAACACCACACAGTGTAGTGCATACATTACATGGACATCTCTCGATAGCTTGTAAAGTGAGGATCGCTACCTCGTTTCAGTCAGTGATTGTGCGAATCACTGACTTTTGTAACTTCTGACCTGGTAGTTAATTCTATTCATAATTATCAGGAGGTCAACGTCAGCGTCCTGTCCAACCACTGAAGCTTGCCTTGCCTTATCAGATGTTTCCTCATCTGGCACGTTGTACAACAGCCAGATAAGCTATTTTAGCTTCCTTTTCCTCATTATAATAGCAGAGGTGCTCCATAACAGTCTCTTCATCTTCCTCAGATTTATCAATCCTGAACTCTGATTCCTAGTCAAGCCAGGACATTAAATGTTGCAAATTATCCAAGTGGCGGATGTTTTTGCACACGCCACGTGAAAGCTGGATATTATGTGTTAATGGACCAACGTATCTGAGTGCTAGATGTGGACTACTACAATTGAAGGCTAGTTGCTTCTATGCTTCAGACACTTAAGTTAGCACAGCCAGATTAAATCTCTATGCTTAAAAGTATTTTTCCCTGACTGATATTCAGATCATATCTCCTATTATAAGTCTGCCTTTCCTAGCTCGTAGCATTTGAATTTAAGCACATCTGCCAGTGCTGTTCTCAGCCACTCTACATACGCTTGTGGACATTGTGGCACCACTGAGGTAGGAGATAACCCATACAACACCTCTACAGGGACCGTCCTTTACGGCCCAAATATGAGCGTGTTGAGCCAGTATCCAGTCGACTTCTGTTCTATTTTGCGGTATGCCATCATGACATGACCTTTGTTCTGCTAGAATATTAGTTGGCCGTTACATTTAGTGAACGTCAACTAGGCCAGGAGGGAATATTAAGTTAAAGTTTCAATCCTTTAGTATGGATACTAACGTTTCTGCAGTATCTTTTAGGGTAGAATAGGCATTACCTACTAAAGCGAACAGAGAAACATGGCAACTAGAACAATACAATCTCAACGATTTTCTGGATTATATGTTGTTGTTTTTTAATAAAACTTTGTATATGTTTATGTATGTTCTAAAGTAGTATAGCTTTAACAAGGCTTATGATTCACATGTTGTTAGAATAATTTTTTTCAGTACTGCCAACTCAGCGATTTTGTCGCTAGATTTAGTGACTTTTGGGTTAACCTAACGACTTTCACCACCAACAATAATGACATTCAAAGAAAGAAGACGCCAATTTTTATAGCCATGAAATCACTTACAAGCAGCTCAATAGTGTTAAAATACTCTAAGTGTTTGGTGAATATAAAAATTCTATAATGTATAATGTATTTTTTCAGGAACTCTTCTCATTGTAACAAAAATATCCCGAACTGCGTATATCGAAATTCTACCAATTTATATACAGATTTTTTTTTTCTCTACTGAATTTTAAATTTATTTTTTTTCTAGTGATATTTTTTGCTCCTTTAGAATATTTAAATAGCGACATCTAACGACTTTTCATGATTTCCAAGTACAAAGATCAATGAGTTGGCAGCTTAGAACTTTCTTTCGTTGCTTATCAAGGGAGTGAGAGGTGATTGTCGTATTTGGGAGCTAATTCATAAATGGACAAACCAAGGCTTGCCCGTGTAAGTATGTCATATTTATGTTATAACTTTATTTCTCAAGTAGTATAAATTTCTATAATCATCCCAACATTTACAGGTTTAGTTATAAAGCATGGAATCTGAGTATATTTAAGCAGTTACAATTTTAAGCCTAAAAGTTGAACTTGTCACGTGCTCTGTAGGCCTAACTACGTTAGTCTATGACTATTCTCGCTCTCTCATAGGTGTCGTTAGTGTTAAATATTACGGTTTTAGTTTACTTTGAAATACTAATAGCCATATAGTCTATAGCATCAGCGTTGCTAACTAATATTCCACGTCGGACTACGTTGTAAATGTACTGCAAAAAAATTTACTTTTAATTATTTGATCTAAACTTGACAGTAATTTAGTTTGAATAGGGGGTTTTAGTGATTCCTAAATAATGAAAATAAAAAATTCACACATCATTGGATGACACAGTCGCAAATTAGTAGATTTACACTTCAAGTTCAATTATGTAGTTAATAATTAATGAAAATTAAAAATCGACTTTGTGCTCCACACTACATTCCTATTGAAACAATAATAAAATGGCAGTGATTGATATCAAATTATTGCTTTACCCAGTAACCTGATACTGTGTGACATGTGTGTCAAGGTAACTTAAAATCTAGTCCCAATAAAGTCCATCAATTTCAAATTCATACATGTGGATTCATATTATATGGATAACTGAAATGAAAATTGTCAGCAACCAAATATTAATAATTAAATATGAGCTTACCTATGAAAGTATAGGAGATAGTTTTTAATCACATTGGTGGTAAACTTGAAATACCATATTTGACAAATTTGTATTAGTAGTAACCTCTACCTATTCTATGTTATGTCATGATGTAATTGATACATCATTCATACCACTTTCATCATAGACTATTATAGCACACGTTTTTTTGCTGTAGCCACATCCAATGATATGACGTATAGCAAACTGTTGTTAGGACAAATTAGTCTGTTTACACCCAATGATATGATGTATAGCAAGCAGATGCCAACACAAAGCATAGGCTGGTTACAATCCCTATTCATAATTTTACTTGCTGTTGGTTCGAATTAGGCAGATGTATCTATGTATCAGTTTATACATTATGTAATCTGCACCACAAAGTTTGTCGTGTTGTTTTCTTTCTACAAGTGAAATAGCTAAAAAATAATTTTAAATAGTTTTAAAGTTTTGTTTGTGTGTTTTCAAATAGTAAATGGTCCTGGATCCAAAGCAGAGCATGAAGAGATCTATCATGTGATGTATCACTGATCCTTGTTGGTCCAGCCAATTTGAACCAACACCCTGTTTTTGGTTTTAACATTCATTCACAGGTCACTACCAAATGGCAGAGGATGGGTTTAGAGATCATCACAATGTTTTTAAAGCCAATTTACAACTAGTGGGAGTATGGTTCCCTTGAAATAAATCATGCAAACTTTAGCGTTTATTAGTACTGTACACATTTTTCATTTGTTGTTGAGTGTACAATAACGTATTTTGTTTATTGGAGATTTCTTTTCTTAAATCATATGGGAGGTACCATAGGTGAGTGACCAAAGCAGCCAGTCCAGTGAATATTCTTTACCTTGATTGGTTTGTTAGTAAGGTTTGTGGATTCGTCATGTAATGTACCAAATTAGGTGTTTCAGATAGACTGAAGAAATAGTTAAATAAGATGAATAAACTTATTGGCAAACAGCTCTTTTCAGGGGGGCAGGAGACCTGTAGGTCCATTGTTTTTATCAATTTCTCTGTGGAAGGAGAAAACCCACTTTCACAGGAAAGATACTGAGTATTCAATCTGTCCTGTAACCAGTCTGTAAAATAAGACATGAGTGTTAGATAATATACAGTGAACATAACTAGAACCTTGTGTAATATAGTTTAACTCTTTTTAGTTTTTACCCTTGCAAAAGGTATTTGAATGGGTGTGCTTGTAATTTTGTGCAGTGTTAGTTTCTTTTTTCCACTTTGAGGTAATAATTGTTGGCAAGCTTAATGAGGTGTGATTTTTTTATTTTATTGAGATTAAAATGAATAAGTGGACATTGCTAAATTTGTTGAACAATATACAAGATATCCTTGTATATGGGATTTCCATGGTTTTAATTATAAAATATAGATGTAAGAAACAATGCTTTGAAAGAATATGGAAAATTTCAATACAAATTAAGTAAAGAATAAAATCCATATAATTAGGAAAACTTATTGCAATGAAATAAAAATACAAAAATGTAAAAAAAAATCAGGTGTAGGGACTAGTCAAATTTATATATCAAAATTACCTTGGTTTCGTATTGCAGATAATGTTTTGAAGAAATTAATCAAAAATAGGGAGTCATACAAATTTGTTAAGTAAAGTTTTATTTCAGCAATTAGCCGATATGCTCCAGACCACAATCTCATTAGCATACTGAGTGATAGGTGTAGGTTAGGGTGATATCATTTATAGGAGTGGTAAAAGGACTGAGCCTTGTGATACTCCTGCTATGATGTCAACCTTTTATCATCCATTGAAGGTTTTTTTTCCATTACTGTACTTGACATGAATGTACATATTTTGTCATGTATCAGTAGTTGTTTACACTGTTTTATTGAAATATCATATTGGTACATGGTGGATCATAGGAACTAATGTTCTGTTCTATTGAAGATTGTTACTAAACTACACAGGACAGATTCTGTAATTTTTCTGTGTAAATGTATATTTTTGACTGGATTTTATACTCTTGAATCATTTAAAATAATCACTATAATAATTTTCCATTTTTTTCCCTAACTAACATTTTTTTCAATATTTTGTCAATCCCTTACTCATGGCATACATGTTGATGGTAATTATTAAAACATACTTTGGGCTTATTAGTTCCATTGAAGTTCTGAATCTGGAAGTAATTCTAAAATTTTTATTTATTCAATTTTCACATACACTTTTGTAATTTAGAATTATATAAAATGTATTCTTATTGTGGATTTGTCTGTGTGTAAAGTTAGTAACTTTAGTTTTTACATTTATGAATTAACAATCTTAGGTGACTAAGGTTCTTGGAAGGACAGGGTCCCAAGGCCAGTGTACTCAGGTATGTAATCATCATTTTGATTTTGTGTGTGTGTGCACATGTAATATTCACACCTGATTGAATTTTGTAATTCTTGCATGAGAAATGGATGCTAAACCATTATTATTATTTTTTTCAGGAAGAGATGTGCCAGAATATAAAATTTAGATTTATAACTTTAATACAAAACGAGATTTAAATTATCTCCATGAAAAATTAAAGGAAAATACTTAAGAACCAAAAATGGAAACTTATCTCTAACTCATTTTTATAGATTGCACAAATGACAAAGCAATAAAAAGTTTTGTTAGAGTTGTCCTGTAATTGATAAAGAAAAAATTACTGTATTGTTTTGACAGTTGAGTGTGGGAAGTCATTCATTACCATTTCTATATCTATAAACATTTTATTTTTAGTTTAACAGTGTAAGTATAGCCCTTTACAATCCAATATTGATTGGACAAAAGAAAAATCAAACCATCTGTATATTCCACATCATTAGATATATTGTTTATTTTTATATGTTTTGATAAATATAAAGTAAAATTCAAATTTGTTACCCTTTTTTACAATGTATATTCATTCCCAAGAGTTGTTTCTGATCTTATTGAAGTTTACAAAATTATCAAGGGGATTGACAAAGGCTAAAGATTTCTTATTTCTTTGTGCTGTATTTTAAAGATATAGAATAAAGGGGTACAAATTCAAAATTTGGAAAAAACAGACCAGGATACTGTTTTATTCTTATGACATGGTGATTGGCATATTGAGTGAGTTATTACCCAGCAGTAGTGGAAACCAGCTCTTTACAAACGATTGAGAGAGAAATTGGAAATTTCTTGAAAAATAAAGGATGGATTTAAATTTTGACGTTTCCGAAAGATGTGTGTTCAAGTACAATTCTCTAGAAACCATACTACCCTCCTAACTACTTTCACTTTCGTTAATTGTGTTCAGTCTGATGGCCATGTTTGCACAGTATGGTCTCCATTAATAAAACCTTTTGCAAAGAACAATGACATTAACTGTGGACCACACATGTTGACAGTTTTTCCACAGTACCACCACTCTCGTGTATGTTAGCTTCTAAGACCATTTAAACGTACCAAAAGTACAAAAGTTCCTTTTTTTTTCGGTGATTTTCTGTTTTCTAACATCAAGGTAAATTTCTTCTTGGGGCTTACAAGTTATTTTGAGATTCTTTCTTATTTTTGAGTGTAAACTTTTCTATCTCTATTATTGCTGGCTGTAGTTACTTTTACATCTTCAGTACTTGCTCCTTTCTTTGAGTTATGGAGCAAAGAAAGACTTTTCAATTTTTTAATTTCTTTTATCATTTTGACATTGTGATTTTTTAAAAGATTCTTACTTCATTCTTGGTTGAGTTTTTTTTCTTTATTTCACTTGTCCTTTAAAATTTAATTTGTTTTTAGTATTTGGTACCTGGTTATGATTTCCCTGAAAGAGGGCTGAAGGCTGTCTGGAGGAGTCACCTGTTTTAACCACTTGCACCACTATACAGTAGTGTGTTGTTTGTCAGTCAGACGACACTGAAATATCGCATAACAGACCCTTAATGTCTCAGATTCTACTGTTATGATGTCAGTAAAACGTGCCTGCCATGAATTATGCACTCTGTAGACGACTACAAAATAGCATGACGTATGAACTTCAAAAGCAAGAAATAAAATTTTTTACTCCTAATTTTGGTTTTATTTACTCTTGAAAGAGAACACTTAAGGACCCTGTGCAAGTCCATCTAGTATTAGAATGCTATACATAAACAATAATGTAAAATATGGCATCTGAAGAAGGTGAATGGAGTAGATAGCAGTAAAAACTTCGTGTGACAATTGTCCCTAAGAGTACTAATTACATAAAGGTAAATTTTCTTGTTAAATAATTATCAAGGATATACTATTTGTCTTTTTGTTGTTTATTTTTTAAAGGTAGTATATAAATTTTTCTTATTCGGTGAAAATCTAGTGAATGTTTTTAATGAGCCTTTAATATATGTTATACTGCTAAGATAAAACTAGAAGTAACAAAAGTGGTTATTGTATGCTATAAATAAAAGTTACATATGATATGTAAAAAGGAAATGAACTTTTTACAAAGGTACGAGTTGAATTCTTGGATGAAAGTAACAGATCCATCATCCGTAATGTCAAAGGACCCGTGCGTGAAGGTGATATACTGAACCTGCTAGAATCTGAGAGAGAAGCAAGGAGACTTCGTTGATAATCTGTGTGTTAAGGTAAAAATGTAGCTTAAAAATGGTATATTCTTTATATTGTACAAGTACATATAACTTAGGTTCTCAACGTTTTGTAAATTACATGGGGGGAATGTAGAAGTTTTTACTGGCTTGTTATTGGCCTTGATGAACTAAATGACATTCTGTCAAGTATTCATGTAATCTGTACTGGTTTTGAAGGACTTTCAGCAGCTAAGATAGGAATATGTGATATCTGTTTCTTTGGTATAACCTGCTTGTAAACTGCAAAGTTTATGAACTTTGAATGAAGAAAAATGTTATGCTCCAATTTCCATCTTGTTTGTGTTAAACATGTCAGATGAAAATGTGGAGTAAAACATTTTGAATAAAAAGTCTTTTAAATGAATATTTCTAAACCATATACACTCCAAAATAATGGTTGTCTAACTTTATTGGTTACATGGTTCTTAACATAATCACATCTTCATACTAAGTACTGGTGATGTCCCTATGTATTCTGCAAAGAGCAAGTGATTTCACCTAATTTTGTGGTTAGATATTTTCCCTCCGTATTACATCAGGCAAAAATATAAAGTTATTTAACACCATATCTGTGCCCAGCTGGTAGTAAATTGTATAAAAACAATTTTATAGCTTTAATGCTGTTAAAGCTGTGCTGATTCTAAATTGTTTTTTAACCTTGTGTAAGAACTCTCATTTATGATTAAAAGTGTTATTGATTTTGTTTCCTTTTCATTCACTTTGTTTTGTTTTTACAGGTATATGTATTTGAATATCAACCAGTATGTGATCACCATTTCAAGAACTATTCCATTGTAAACATTGGAACTTGGAATTAAAAAAATTTTAATTTCATATTGGTGTTTTATATTTATTGATTATATTCTTTAATTGCCTGTATTTTACTGAAAACATAAGCATTTAGTGATTATTGTGTACACAAAATTGTTGTATAAAATACCAGTTGTGCATAGATATAAATTATATGTTTAACAGGTATAAAAGGCTTGAGCTGTTTTAAAAACTCTACCTTGAACTTGATTTAAAACTAAAAACATTTTGTATAAAAATGTTTTTCTTCTAGGGTAAGCTTCAATATACAAAGGCCAACTCGGTAATGTATACTGTACAATACTTTCTCAGATGTATTACATGAAAGTTTGAAGTGAACCAGTTTTATGTGTGTATACTTACCATGTAAAATTATTACTATTATAAAAGTTCCTATTCTATAATAAGGTGTAGGTGTTTACAATGGAAATTACAAAGTTAATTAAAACAAACTTCTAAGATAAGAACTTGTTATTTTTATGTGTTATACTATCATCTGTAGGTGTAAATATTTTATATTTTGGAAGAAATTTGGTAGCTTGTGTCTAAATGAATTGTGTATTTGACATCTTGTTTCCAGATTTTCAAATACTCTAATTTATGCTTAAATGGCTTAGCTTCAACTTTGAGGCCTTGTAACACTGAAATTTGGGGTTTGATCCTTGTGGTGGTCACAACTCTTAATCCATTATGAAGCTTTATGCTTTAAAAAACGGATATTCTTGAAGACTATTTTATTATGAAAACATTGGAATAATTAAACTTCCATGCCACTAAATTGTAAAAATCATTGAATTATTAATGTTGTCATTCATAACTTGTTTAGAAATTAAGATGTGATTATATTGGAGATTGTTATTGAAGGGCAAAATTTCTAAACTAGAAGACAGGAGCTGCTTCAGAGATGCTTTAGTAAATGTCCAATTTGTTCAAGTATTACACTTGGAAAAGACACACAAAAGAAACTGATAGTTACATAATGTTTATGAACAACTTAGTAAATTCTTGAATCAGTTCAAACAAGCATAATGTCAAATATTACATGAACACATTTTTACTTTACTATTTACAAGAAAACAGAAATTAATTCAGAACACAAGTTACAACTTAATAAACAAAATTTGTCTACATGGGTACAATGTTTAATAATTATTTCCAATAAAATAATGTACCCAGATTGGGAAGAAAATTTGTAAAACTTTCTTTTGAAAAAAAAACTGTGTTGTCCTAAAATGGATGCAAAGAATAAATTTTACTCATCAACCAACTGCTTTTTAAATTAATTAACGAATTGCCAGTAGATAGTATATGAATTTTGGTTTATAACTGAAAGTGGGGGGGGGGGGCAATTTTTATTTGATTTGGCCCTGTCTAGTGTGACAGATTAAGGAATCCACCAAAATCTACCTAACTACACATTATCTTTTTTGGGGATTTGGTTGTAGCTTTCATATTCAAAAGCAAAGTTACAAGCATATATTATACACTGGAGAAATGGTAAAGTATCTATCAGCAAAGGTAACAATTCCATTCTTGTACAACGTTCCATATTAATAGTACAAGAACAGGCTGTAAAAAGCATAATGGAAGAAGGGTCAGGCGTGGCTTGGTGGTTAGCATGTTAGGACTGTGAATGCGGAAGTTACTAGTTGGGGCCATGGGTCCTGTTGACTAGTTGCCTTCCCTCTAGTGTAGCATTTCTGTACTCCTGGATTATCAGAATGTGCGCGATAATCAAAAACAGACTTAAACAAAAAAAATTTTTTTTTTTCCAAAAATTAAGCTGCTGTACATCATCTCCATAACTGTTATTTGATATTCAGCAGCCTCTAGTACCTTCCTATACTTCTCAGTGTAATTCTTTCACCAGATTAAACTCTTTGAATTTTACCGTGGGTGCTCTATAATAGTAACGGTCAAATCCCATTTTATTTACTCCAGAGTTGGCGGCATGTGCTGTTTATTTGTACAAAAACTTCATTCCCTATAACTTTTTTTCCTTGACCTTAGGTCATTATACTCTTAACTTTTCATATCTGGTTACTAAAATATTAATAAATTCCAAAATAAAATACCCATGCGTTTTTTGTTGGTTCATTATATTTCATTCTACTGCTGCATTAGGTTACTCAGTGTGTTTTATCTTTGGTCAAAAGTTTTGACTATTTTCAGCTCTCCTTTACCTTTAAACATTCAGATCTTGAGCCTTTAGAAATTTCATCTGTATCTCATTAAAGAAAACTGGTTTTACTTTTATTTTATATGACATTACAATGGTGTAGCAACTTTTAATTCGCCAGTCAAATGTGAAACCCCTTCCTTTAAAAGAATAGTTTTTAGAATTAATTATTACAATGTTAGAGTTATCTTACGTTATTGCTTTCAGACTTCCTCCAGGACTATTGCAGTCTCTCTTTGAATAAAAATGGTCATTTGGTTTAACGCTTTTATTTCACCACTTCAGGCCTTCTGATCCTAAAAATATATTAAACAACAAGCATAAAAGTGGTATACTGAATTACTTTAATTATGTGTCGTACAATGCTGAATACAGAAGTATTCTACGTGATAAAGAAAATTCGCCAAATAAAATAAAAATTATACTGCAGAAAGAATTTACTTGCGTGGACAAGTAACTATTTAACGACGAACTTGAAATTTCATTGGTAAAAAAAATCCAGCATTAATAGAAAAGTTACTAAAAGAAAATATTAACAGTACAACATAGTTTTCCGAGTTTTTGAATTAAACGTGATTACAGCGATGGATGATCGTTTGTTTGTAGAATTTTGTGCAAAGCTCAAAGCTAGCCGTCCCTCATTTCAATGTGATAGACCTTATGTAAGGCAACTAATCAATACTACCCACCGCTAACTTTTGGAGGATAAAGCGAATAATAGGATTGACAGTCAGTAGTAAGGGCCGCACTTCATCGTTCAAAGGTCATTATTCTAAGTTTTGTCATCAGAGGGCGCAACTAATTTATAGTGGGGGCTGAAATTTTAGTTCGTTTCCAGACAGGCGGCCATAATGATTGATTACGTAACAGTACCACAAAATAGAGAATGTATTTCTGGGCCGTCATGACTCGTACTATATGTGCCTTATGATGTCAATAATTAATCATTAAGTTATTAAATCATCCTTTAAAAGTTGGTTAACTCTAAATCATTTATAATTAATTCCTCTTTAAAAGCACGCTTAAGACTAATTAATTAATAATTAAAACATCCTACCACAAACTAGAGAACTTGTTTCTAGGCAGCCATGACCCATACAATACATGTCTCAGAAAGAATATAATTAATCATTAATTCGATAGTTACTTAATTAACTCATCCCTAAAAAGGATGCTTAAGACTAATTAACTAAAACACTTATAATTAGATCGTTATATAAAAGAATACTTAACACAAATTCATAAAATCAATTATAATTAATTCTTCCTTAAAAGGATGTTTAATGCTGATTCATCAGTTAATTAAATTTCATGTCCTAAAAGAATGATATCTTCATTAAAACTTACTCTTTTAATTATCAATCGTTTTTCAATGATATATTATTTAACGTAACATGATCACAAAATACATTTTTACCACACACACAATACATGTCTTTAAATTGCCCTAAAAAAGGTGATATCATGTAATAATTAAACTTTCACTAGTTTGTGACAAAATGTTTATACATGTTACTTGATCTTACACGAGTTTTAAAAGGGTTGACTTCCTCGTATCCACAATGTCAAAATATTACTTAATGTAATATGTTTGAATGAGATCACAACTTACATTATACTACATATGATTAATTAGTATTATAGAATAAGAACACTTACCATATTATTGATGTAGGATGTTCAAAACACAGTCTAATCTGTGATACTTGTGTCAATGAAAACATACAATCACAAAACACATACAAATTTCTACATGTTATTTCTATTATACGAGACAAAACAAACGTATCTGATGTCAAACCTTGATACTGTTTAACTTTACTACACACAGTTTACCAAGTCTGGTTCATTGAAGATGACTGACCGGCTTGAAAATATACAAGCTAGAAAAAATCATCTGCTTAGGTCAGTTCTGAGTTGACCAATTCTATGTGATTTATGGAGTAAGTACTGTTTTGCAGTGTAGAAGTAGAGCAGAGTTGGAAGAAATAAGTAAAGTGTGACAGTCCGAAGTGTTTGATAGTCAAGCCTACTGACAGGATTGGAATGGCAAAGTCTATTTTGCAATAACTAGCTAGCTTGTCCAATTGATTAAAGTTTTGATAATAATTCGGTGTTTGTAACAAAAAACAACAACATTGGTTACTATAATAAACCCTAATTAATATTCACTTTACACAAGTAATCAAAGTTTTCTTTATATTAGAAATTATACAGAATATTTGAAACAAAACCAGCCGTGCACTTTACTTACAATTTAAAATTGACCTTCAATATACAAATAAGGACTTGTAAAGTACCACATATTCAAACATTAGGGAATATTTAGATGTTTACTCATATGATGGTGTAAATAAAACAGTTTATTGGACGTATATAGATAGGGAATGCAACAAAAACAACAAATATTTCGATTGTTTATATAAGATGGACAAACAACCTAGAAATTCAAGTTTCTTATGATAAAAGATAATACATAACTTTTCTTTCACATTTTATAAATCCAGTATGTTTACAATCCAAATAACATGTTACCTCCATTATACTAAATTTCGATTTAAAACTCCTATATTTGTCATTTAAATATAACACGCAAAGTTAGATACATAGTCTTAACTTCTTGAAAGTGTAATCATTTAAGCGCGTAAAGAAAATCAGTATTGTACACCTTACAATTTTTATCTGACAGCATAATATCCTGAAATATGTGTGGATTAAATTAGTTTTCATACAAGTTAGTGTACAGCCTATGTTAAACTTTTGTTGTTAATTAGTAAAGTCAATCCATTTAGAATAAAATTAAAATTCTGTTCTACTTAAACATGTGACAATTTAAATATATTTA